GCTTTATGGCCTAGCATGTGGTCAATCCTAGAGAAAGTTTCATGCACTGGAGAGAAAAATAGGTACTCTGGTTGTAGGATGGAAGGCTCTGTAGATATCTGCTAGGTCTGTTTGGTCTGTGGTGTTGATTAACTCTGTTGTTTACTTATTGATTTTTGGTCTGATTGATCTGTCCATTGCTGAAAAGTGAGGTATTGAAGGCCCCTATTACTATTGTATTTGAGTCTATATCTCCCTTTAAACCCTTAACACTTCTTTTAAATAGCCAGGTGCCCTGTAATTAGGTGCATATACAATTATAATAGTCACATCTTCCTGTTGAATTTATCCTTTGGTCATTATGTAGTATCCTTCTTTATCTCTTTTAATAGTTTTTGTGTTAAAGTATATTTTGTCTGATATTAGGATGGCCACACCAGCTCTTTTTTGGTTTCTGTTACCATAGATAATCTTTTTCCATCCTTTCATTTTCAGTCTGCATGCATCTTTGTTGGTAAGATGTGTTACTTGTAGGCAGCAAATAGATGGGTTTTCTTTTTTAATCCATTCAGCCAGCCTGTGTCTTTTAAGTGGGGAATTGAGACTATTTACATTCAGTGTGACTATTGTTAAATACCAACTTTTCCCTGTCATGTTTCCGTAAATAGTCCTGTTTATGTATTTTGGATTTCATTTGTACTTTTGCTGCATGATTTTCTGTGTTCATCTACTTTTGTAGTGATGTTCCTGTTTCTGTGTGTAGCACATCCTTGAACATCTTTTGTAAGGCTGGGCGAGTAGTTGCAAATTCTTTCAATTTTTGCTTGCTGTGAAAGATCCTTATTTCTTCTTCATTCATAAATGAGAGTTTTGCAGTGTACAGTATTCTTTGTTGACAGTTTTTTTCTCTTAGGACTGGGATATGTTTTGACATTGTCTCCTTCCCTGTAGGGTTTGGGATGAGAAGTTCAGAGTGATTCTACTTGGGTTTCCTCTAAATGTGATTTGTCCTTTCTCTTCTGCACATTTTATTTTTTATTTATTTTTAAAAGATTTATTTATTTATTTGAAAGTCAGAGTTACACAGAGAGAGGAGAGGCAGAAAGAGAGAGAGGTCTTCTGTCTGATGGTTCACTCCCCAGATGACCGCACCGGTCAGAGCTGTGCTAATCTGAAGCCAGGAGCCAGGAGCTTCTTCCAGGTCTCCCACGTGGGTGCAGGGGCCCAAGGTCTTGGACCATCTTCTACTGCTTTCCCAGGCCACAGCAGAGAGCTGGATTGGAAGAGGCGTAGCCGGGACTAGAACCGGTGCTCATATGGGATGCTGGAGCTTTAGGCCAGGGCGTTAACCCACTGTACCACAGCGCCGGCCCCTCCTGCACATTTTAACATCTTTTCTTTATGTTTTACTGAGGAGAGTTTTTCTGCCATGTATCATGGTGAAGTTCTTTTCTGGTCATGTCTATTGGGAGTTCTGTGTACTTCCTGTACTTGAGTCTCTTTCTTTCTCCATAGTGGGAAAGTTCTCTGTTATTATTTCATTAAGAAGGCCTTCTAATCCTTTCTCTCTTTCCATGCCTTCTGGAATTCCTAGGACCCATATATTGGGTCATTTGATAGAATCTTGTAGATCTCCAACTGTGATTTTAATTTTCTAATTTCTTCTTTTGTTTGGTCTGACTGTATTTCCAAAAATTTGTCTTCGAGTTTTGATTTTCTTTTTTCTGTCTCACCTATTCTATTGTCAAAACTTTCCACTGCATTTTATATTTGATCTACTGAATTCTTCATTTCTAGTATTTCTTTTTTTTTTCAACTTTTATTTAATAAATATAAATTTCCAAAGTGCAACTTTTGAATCACAGCAACTTTTCCCCCCATAACTTCCTCCTACCCACAACCATCCCATCTCCCACTCTCTCTCCCATCCCATCCTTCATCAAGATTCATTTTCAATCATCTTTATGTACAGAAGATCAACTTAATGTATTACTAATTAACGATTTCAGCAGACAGCACCCACACAGACACACGAAGCACAGAGTACTATTTGAGTAGTACTTTCACCGTTAATTCACATAGTATAATACATTAAGGACAAAGATCCTACATGGGGAGTAGGTGCACAGAGACTCCCATTGTTGATTTAACAATTGACACTCTTATTTATGATGTCAGTAATCACCGAGGCTCTTGTCATGAGCTGCCAAGGCTATGGAAGCCTCCTGAGTTCACAAACTCTGATCTTATTTAGACAAGGCCATAGGCAAAGTGAAAATTCTCTCTTCCCTTCAGAGAAAGGTATCTCCTTCTTTGATGGCCCTTTCTTTCCACTGGGATCTCACTCACAGAGATCCCCCATCCAGGTCATTTTTTTGCCAGAGTGTCTTGGCTTTCCATGCCTGCGAAACTCTCATGGGCTTTCTAGCCAGATCCGAATGCATTAAGGACTGAATCTGAGGCCAGAGTGCTGCTCAGAGCATTTGCCATTCTATGAGTCTGCTGTGTATATCGCCTCCCATGTAGGATCATTCTCTCATTTTTGATTCTATCAATTATTATTTGCAGACACTGGTCTTATTTATGTAATACTTTTGACACTTAATCCTATCTTTTTGATCAACTATGAACTTAAACTGATCACTTTAACAAGTAAGATGGCATTGGTACGTGCCACCTTGATGGGATTGAATTAGAATTCCCTGGCACGTTTCCAGTCTACCATCAGGGGTAAGTCCAAGCAAGCATGTGCCAAACTATTTATCTCCTCCCTCCCTCATTCCCACTCTTATATTTAACAGGGCTAACCCCTCAGTTAATTTTAAATGCTCAAGAATAATTGTGTGTTAATCAAAGAGTTCAACCAATGGTACCAAGTAGAACAAAAAAATACTAAAAGAAAGAAAATAGTAAGCTGTTCCTCGAAATAAGCCAGTCCCAAAGGGACAAATATCATATGTTCTCCCTGATTGGTGACAACTGAGCACCTAAAAGGAAACCTGTTGAAGTGAAATGGATACTATGAGAAACATTTCTAGTATTTCATTCTGACTTCTCTTTAATATCTCAATTTCTTGGGAGTGCTTTTCATTTAGATCATGGATTTGTTTCTGATTGCTTCTAAGTAATCTGACGATTAATTTTCTGAATTAGTTTTCTGGCATATCCTTGATATCTTTTTCTTCAGTTTCTATTATTGAAGAGTTGTAGTGTTCCTTTGGGATACTCATAGTGTCTTCTTTATTCTTATTTGGGTTTTTCCTTTGTTTTTTGGCATTTTTGGTTTCTTTTCTCTTTAATTTGTCTTTGTGCTTGTGGTGAGATTTCCTTCTATTATGAACTGCTGTGTGTCTGTGTGATGCAAGTGGAAGCACGCAGCTTCATCTCCTGGAGTCCTGCTCACTTCTAGATCATCATGGGGGCAGGTACAAGAGGTCTGGTGCGGCCGGCGCCGCGGCTCACTAGGCTAATCCTCCGCCTAGCGGCGCCGGCACACCGGGTTCTAGTCCCGGTTGGGGCGCCAGATTCTGTCCCGGTTGCCCCTCTTCCAGGGCAGCTCTCGGCTGTGGCCAGGGAGTGCAGTGGAGGATGGCCCAGGTGCTTGGGCCCTGCGCCCCATGGGAGACCAGGAAAAACACCTGGCTCCTGGCTCCTGCCATCGGATCAGCACGGTGCGCCGGCCGCAGCGTGCCGGCCGCGGCGGCCATTGGAGGGTGAACCAACGGCAAAGGAAGACCTTTCTCTCTGTCTCTCTCTCACTGTCCACTCTGCCTGTCAAACAAACAAACAAACAAACAAAGAGGTCTGCTGCACTAAGCCCCGCCTACTGGGGGGCCAGACTTGCTTCTCACTGGTGCATGAAACGAACTTGAGTTTTTTATATTTGGGACTTCTCCTTGTATAGCTTGCGTGGGAGGGAGGAAATTACTCTGAAATGTTGTGATCCTCATTCCCAGTGGGGGGTGTTGTGAGGTGGCCCCTGTAGTTGATGGGTGTGTGCATGGGAGGCATATGCGGTAGTCCCTTGCTTACATTTGAAAATGTGAACAATCAATATGGCTTCTCCCAGCCAGCTGCAGGTCCGGTTGGGGGAAGGAGGGAGACATAGATGAATGGGGTTGTCCCCGAACTCTCCGTTTGTTCTATACTTTCTCTTTCTTCCTGCTTGGAACTTCAAACCCAGTAGCCAGGCTCTCTTGGCTGCTGCTATCTGCAACTCCATGGACTCATGGTTTCTCACCTGGTTCACTGTGGAGGGTGGTGCGCATCTCCCTGTTTGGCATCTCCACCGCGCCTCTGCTGCACCTCCTCCACTTCCTTTTTTTTTTTTTTTTTTTTGGCTCCCTCAGTGTGGACCTGCTCAGTCTCTGTTGGACTCCTGGGCTTCGCTGTGTGAATTTATCACGGCTCTCGAACTTCCCCTTTTGAAAAAAGACTTATTTATTTGAAAGTCAGAGTTACAGAGAGGGTGAGAGAGAAAGAGAGAGAGAGATCCATTAATCCAGTTTAGCCTTCTGTGCCACAATGCTGGCACCTTTGTACTGAATCCTGAATATGTGTGGGAGGTGGGAGGTTTCTGTGATACAGAATAGCATTTCTGGGAGCTGGAATAGCCTGTGCAAAGACATCTTTCAGGAGCACTGCTGCTCCTGGTAAGTTCAGTGTGGCTGCAGAGCTGGGCATTAAGGAAGCAGGGTAGGTAGATCAGGCCAAAGAATTAGGTGGATGCTTGTAAGCCTTCAGGTCGCACCCCACACCTATGAAATCAGAATTTCTGGGGCTAGGAAGCAGTCCTCAGTGATTGTAGAGCTCCCCAGTGCTTCCGGTGTGCAGCGAAGGTGAGAACCTCCGCTTGTGGGAGCCAACGGCAGTGTTGTCTTTTGGCATAATACTCCTGGTGCCAGGCTGGAGGCTGCTTGTTCAAATGGAGATTGAGGAAAGAGTGAGCACATTTAGGGACTAGTTGGTGAAACAGATCATGCAAAAGAAACATGAAACTAGAACTTTGTTTTGGTTTTCAGAATCCGATGGGATGCTGCAGGAAGAAGGTGAGTCACATCTGGTAAGAGGAATGTTCATAAACTGAAAAGGTAGAGTTGGGGTTTCTCTTGCTGCTTTAATGTGTAGGTATCTGCCCCTTAGGTTTCCTGGAGGAATTCTGATTCTTTAAAAAAGATTTATTTATTTATTTATTTGAAAGTCAGAATTACAGAGAGGAGGGGAGAGAGAGATACCTTCTACCTGCTGGTTCACTTCTAAAATGGCCACAACGGCCGAGACTGGGCCAGGTGGAAGCCAGGAGCCAGCAGCCTCTTTTGGGTCTCCCACGTGGGTGCAGGGACTCAAACACTATCCTCTGCTGCTTTCCCAGGTGCATTAGCAGGGAGCTGGGTTGGAGGTTGAGCAGCTAAGACTTGAAACAGAACCCATATGGGATGCCAGTGCTGTAGATGGTGCTTTAACCTGTGTCGTCACAGCGCCAGCCCTTCTCTTTTTACACAGATATTTTGCTTTAATCTCTGATTCTATAGTAGATGTGGTCACAGTCCTAGGTAAAGAGAATTACAAAGGTCTGTTTTTTTTTTTTTTAAGAGAAGGTCCTTGCTTTTTTTTTTTTCTTTTAAGATTTATTTATTTATTTGAAAGTCAGAGTTACAGAGAAGCAGAGGCAGAGAGGTAGAGAGAGAGAGAGAGAGAGAGAGAGGTCTTCCATTCTCTGGTTCACTCCCCAATTGTCTGCAATGGCCGGAGCTGTGCCCATCTGAAGTCAGGAGCCAGGAACTTCCTCAGGGTCTCCCACGTGTGTGCAGGGGCCCAAGGCCTTGGGCCATTTTCTACTGCTTTCCTAGGCCACAGCAGAGAGCTGGATCAGAAGTGGAGCAGCCGGGACTAGAACTGGTGCCCATATGGGATGCCGGCGCTGCAGGTGGCAGCTTTACCTGCTATGCCATGGTGCTGGGCCCCTTACTCTGTTTTACATGTTCCCAATGTTTTGCCTTATGTAGGGTGGGGATTCACTTGTAAGCTACTAGAGTCACTTGTAGGTCAACTAGAAACTCAACGATGATACAGAAGTACAAATAAGATGAGAATTGAGTTGGCTCTGTGGTTGTGAGTTCAGAGAACTCTGCCAGGTCTGGCAAGTAACATGAAGCAGCAGCAGTAGCAGATGGAGACAGAAGTAGCCTGGTGAGTGTACCAGGGCCTCTGCCCAGTGCGGTTGTCTATTACAGTGAGCAAATCCCCCCAAAGCTTAAGCTGTGGAGATGTGTTATTTCTAGTGATCTGCGATCGGCTAGGCAATTATTCTGGCCTTGCTTAAGAGCACTCAGTGTAGCTTGTCTGGGACAGTTGGCCGCATTGCCTGGATTCTTCAGTGAGGCCTCTCCGTGTGTCTTGTTTAGTACTTGATAGTATAGCGGTCTCATGAAAATACCTTCATAAGTGATGGGCCTGGTGGTAAAACAGTGTCACTTTTCCCATATTTTATTGGTCAAAGAAGTCACATGTCAAGCCAAGATTCAGAATAGAAGAACCAAATTCCATCTCTTGATGGGAGGAACTTGTGTACCTACAGGCCTATGGGTAGTTGTTGGCAGCCGTCTTTGGAGGTGGTCTGCCTTTAGGTGACTGAGGGAATGGAGAGAAGTGGGTTCTGGCTTCATCTGGACATCCCGGAGGGCAAAGAATATGTGATGCATGGCTCTCTTTAGGCCTGGGAGGTGGGTCTTTGTTCTGTCTTTGATGTGAATTTCTCCAAGAACAGCATCTTTTAGGAAAATCCTTTTAGTTTCTGAAGCCTTGACTCATATTTCCTTATACTTCCCTCAGTGAATCACAGAATTCCTCAGAGAGAACAAAGATGGACCACTCTGAGAGCTCTGTGGGTTTTTCTCCAGTGTGGCAGACAGGCTGTGAGACTGAGTAGAGGGATGGCAGCTTCTGTGTTAATGTGGACGGTTTACCTCGGTGGAGGGCGGAGTCCTCCTCCTTCGAGGAGGTGATGCAGGCTCCTCAGTCTTTCTTTTTTCCACCCTCCGCCTGCCACAGTTACTTGGGAGAAGGCTACAGGTGCGATTAACGGTTGGGTCTCCTTTTAGGTCCTGAATTGTCTGAGTTGGAACCTGCTTATGAGAACAATAGCACTGCAGCGGAGGCTGTACTGGAAGCCAGGCGAGAGACCTCCAAGAGGCTTGCAGGAAGTGTGACCGGAGTAAGCTGGAACCCTGAGCTCAAACTCCTGAGGATTATTCAGGCCACTGATGACGAGGAGCAGGAGAACCAAGCCTCTGGGGCACAGAGTGAGGAGTCTCTGGAGGCCTGGGCTGCGGACGAGACTGAGGAAGCCTTATCCAGAGCAGAATGGCTGGCAGCCCGCGGATCGCGGCCTTCGCTCTGAGGGAAGAAGGGAGAGGGGACTTCCGTCCTCTGGAGCCCTCACCAGCGCCATTCTGTTGCTGTCATTCACTTCTCGCCTCTAAAATAAATGAGGGAGAAAAGCCCCACCCATTTTAAACTTAGATTATTTCTCTTTCATGAGAGTCCGAATAATTTTAGTGAATAAATGCAACTACTTTTCTATCAAAAGACTTATTCTCTTGTCTCTGGGAGGAGGGGAGAGAGGTTTCCAGTTAGAGGAGCTGCATTTTGCCTATGGGAACCCTCCTGCCATTCCTAGATTTTCTTCTCCTTCTTGGAATTGGTTTCTTTTAGAGGTGGGATCCGAAGCTTTATCAAATACTGTGCCCCAATCCATGTTTACTGGACTCATACTAACCAAGAGGAATTCAAAGCTCTAGTTTCGAAGGGGCCGAGTCTGCAGAAGTTTCAGTTTGATGCTCATCAAGCTTCAGAATTCTGTAGTCTCAAAGGACTTAGAACTCAGGGTTTTTAAGGATTTTTTTTCTCTTATATTTTAGTCTTTAAAAATATTTTAATACAGTACAATTTCAAAGTTATGTAAAATAAAGGGAATAAAACATGAAACACATATGTACCTAGTATCTTGGATCTGATCAAGAAGGGCCCTTGGCTTCGGGCCCCTGCTTTGGAAAGTTCTACTCTGGCCGACTGCTGGCCATGCTGCTGTTCATGGAAAGAAATCTACAGGAACAACAGGACTTATGCCTCTTTGGAATCTGCATTTCTTCTAGTCTTGGCTCTTGGTGCCTGGAACCCGGGAATTTGCTGTCCAAATGGCTTCACACTTATTTCTGTGGACAGGTCTCTTTTTTTAGCCCATCCTCCCAAGGGCAGACTACCCCACCAGTATGCGCAATGCTGGGGATAAGGGGGGGTGTCTTAGGAATATGCCCAGAGCTTCGTCTGCCCAATAAGGGCAGAAACTGGGAATGAGAAGGGTGGGACATGGACTAGGATGTCAGGATTGAAACCTCAGGAATATGAGTTCTAAATGAACCTGAACCTGACCTTCCAGGTCATGTAGTTACACTGGTCAAAGCAGGAGAAAGAAGATGTTTTCTTTAACAATTTATTAGCTTGAGTTTTCAGATGTGGTTAGTAGACCTGCTTTTGTATTCTTTTCCTGAGTCCTGCAAAAATTAGGATTGGGCCTGCATGGAACATTATCTGGGAGAAATTTTTGAAGGAGAAGAATTTAACCCTAAAACTTAGAGATTATTATTTTGAAGCTATATTACATTTTTTAAAGTTTATTTTTATTTTATTTGAAAGGCAGAGAGAGAGAGAGAGAGAGACAGAGAAGAATCTTCCATCTGCTTGTTCATTCCCCAAGTGCCCACAACTGTTGGGGCTGGGCCGAGTTGAAGGCAGGAGCCAGGAACTCAATCCAAGTCTCCTGTGTCAATGGTAGGAACCCAAGAACTTGAGCCATCCTGCTGCCTCCCAGGGTGTACATTAGCAGAAGGCTGACATTGGAACCGGAACTAGGAGTCAAACCCAGGCACTCCAATATGGTCCCAACCAGCATCTTAGCTACTGAACTCAAAGGCCCTGCAGCTGCCTCTTAAAGGTAAGGTTAGCGGAGCTAACAAGGCTTGTCAGGTTATGAGCTGGGGAGTGTTGGAGCTGAGCTTGGATGTGGATCTCCTAGCCCCGCATTTGCCAGATGACACTATGCCTGTGTCACAGCAATTCTCCAAAGTTGGATAATCACAAAAAACTGAGAAATATAATCTTTATACCATGTTAGTTCTCAAAGTGCTTTATATCCACTATTTTGGTTGATTCTCTGGCCAGCTCTATAGATACAAGTGTATTGCCTCTTTAATACACATAGAGATTAGGTTTAGAATACAGGGCCAATGGTAGTCTCTTTGGGGCCTTGGAGTGAATTAGGAAAAAAGCACTCCTTAAGACACTTTACTACCTGTTGACACTTTACTACTATCTGTTGAAAAATGATCTCAATGAATGTACACATCTCTGATGAGTACAATATGAGCAGCACCCCTAGAGATGGTCCCCAACCTTCACAACCCCACCAAGTGGTCCTGCTAGAATGGTTAAGTCATTTGCCAAAGGCCTGCGAGGGAAGGGGGCTGGACTCAGAATCTCGGTCCTCGCCTCATCCACTGTATCACAATGTCTCTCACTCGCTTTTCTTTAGCGCACAGCTGAGACTGGGACACCCTTATTTGAAGGATGAGGCCATATGGAAAATAATTGACTGTTGGGGTAGAGTCCTCACGAACCCTCCACTGCACCTCCCGGTGTTCTGAGAGAGAAGGAACCAGGTAACTGTTGCTAATTGCCATTTCTCCGCCATCTGGGTCTTAGGGCAGCTGGAGATAGCCAGCATTGCTTGGAGCTGCACTTCATGTATTGAAGCTGATGTGAAGGCTTAAGAAATATGTTGGAACATTCTTAGGAGACTTCTATCCCCAAGAAAGCAGTCCTTAGTTTCTCTTCTTTTCTTTTTGCTTTGTGATCCTTGCTAAGATAGGCCTCTTGATGTGAGTCGCCGTGGCTTTCTGAGCACATTTCCAGTGACACTCGGCCCAGTCTGACTTGTGTGTAGAAGCAGGATCAAAGAGATCATTTTCTAGGCCCACTCTCCTCTTTCAGAGCCAGCTGTCCTAGTTTGGTATTCATCTCAATCTCTGGGGTTACAGACTTTGTTTTTCAAGGTTTTGAATTGTATGAAGGTACTTTAAAAAGTTCATGGAAAAAGGAATGAGAAGTTTATTTTGGTGGAAAAATTTTGAAATCCATTCTCAGGTTTTTTTTTTTTTTTTTTATATTCTCTACTATCCATAGCTTTTTTGGAAGACCTCTGGTAGAAAGCTCCCTGGGCTTGGTGGGAAAGGGTCAGGGTTTCATCTGTGACACAGCTGACTCATAAAAAATCAGCTTATCCAAATGCACCTGAAGGAATTGCTTGCTGAATTAAGGACAGAAATACTCTGACCTTTAGTTAGAAATGATTAGAGGTTCTTTGGAGTCCAGGATAATCTGGGAAAGAATTTCTCAATTTTCTTTCAGTTGCCATAAAGTACCAGGATAGGGAACTAATTTGTCCTTCTCTTTTTTTATTTTAAAATTTTATTTATTTTTATTTGAGAAGTAGAGTTACAGACAGTGAGAGGGAGAGACAGAGTGCTGTTTCACTCCCCAAATGGCCACAACAGGCTGGAGCTGTGCCAGCTGAAGCCAGGAGCCAGGCTCCTCCCAGTCTTCCACGTGGGTGCAGGGGCCCAAGGACTTGGGCCATCTTCTGCTGCTTTCCCAGGCCACAGCAGAGAGCTGGATGGGAAGAAGAGCAGTCGGGACTTGAACCGGCGCCCATATGGGATGCCGGCGCCCGCAGGCAGAGGATTAACCTACTGTGCCACTAATTTGTCCTCTTTTTGCCCCTATTTGTCCTTTTTTTGGCATTTATTTAACAAATATTTATTGCATACCTATTATGTGTAATAGAATCAACCTCTAGATTGTCTTATAGAGAAAGGGAAAGTTCTGCAGAAAGTGGAGAGTCATTCATTCCCAGGAATGCAGGAAAGTACTCCTGGATTAATTGGTAAAGTTTTTTGGGACCACTAGGTGGTGATATTATATTGCAAAAATCACACCCTGTCTTTACACCTTTTCGAAGACTGGAGGCCTCTGGTTATTTTTAAGACCAGTGTCTATGCTGCCAAAGAGATTTTGTTGTGAGTTAAATGAAGAGAAAGAAACACATTCACATTTATGTTTGTGATCCAATGTCAGTGCCTCAGGGGATGCACAGTTTCTTAAAGGAGGGCGCTGTGTCTATTGTTGCTAAGGTTACAACCCCAGGTTATAACTCTGGTGTGTAGGAGGCATTCAAAAACTACTTGACAAATGAATGAATTTAACTCTGAACAATTCAGATTGTCAATGAAAAATCTATTTCTGGAGTATGGCAAATTCTGGAACATGCCCAGGGACCTAGAATGGGGGTAATGGTTGAGAGCTATTAATGTTTTTTTTTTTTTTTAAATGATTTATTTATTTGAAAGACAGTCACAGAGAGAGGTAGAGACAGAGAGAGAGGTCTTCCATCTGCTGGTTCACAACGGCTGCAACGGCCAGATGGCCACAACGGCCAGAGCTGCACCAATCCGAAGCCAGGAGCCAGGAGCTTCTTCCAGGTCTCCCACGTAGGTGCAGGGGCACAAGGACTTGGGCCATCCTCCACTGCTTTCCCAGGCCGTAGCAGAGGGCTGGATCGGAGGAGCAGCAGCTGGGACTAGAACCGGCACCCATATGGGATGCGGGCGCTTCAGGCCAGGGCTTTAACCCACTGTGCCACATTGCTGGCCCCTTATTAATGTTCTTGACAGATGATTGGTTGGGCAGAGACTTAGGGAGGCAATATTTTGGAAAGAAGAAATACCAAAAGTGATCTGAGACACTTACCTTGCTTTGTGTCCCTAAGTTTATCTTGAGCAAATTTCACCTGTTTAAAAATAGAGTCTGGGGCCAGTGCCGTGGCTCACTTGGTTAATCCTCCGCCTGCGGCACCGACATCCCATATGGGTGCCGGGTTCTAGTCCCGGTCGCTCCTCTTCCAGTCCAGCTCTCTGCTATAGCCCGGGAGGGCAGTGGAAGATGGCCCAAGTACTTGGGCCCTGCACCCGCATGAGAGACCAGGAGGAAGCACCTGGCTCCTGGCTTCAGATCGGTGTAGCTCTGGCTGTGGCGGCCATTTGGGGTGTGAACCAATGGAAGAAAGACCTTTCTCTCTGTGTCTCTCTCTCTCACTGTCTAACTCTGCCTGTCAAAAAATAATAATAATAATAATAAAAAAAAAAGAGTCGGGGCTGGGGCGTGGGGGGGCACTGGAACATAGGGAGTTAAGCATCCCATCTGGGCACCGGATCGAGTCCTGGCTGTTCCACTTCAAATCCAGCTCCCTGCTGGTGCACCTGGGAAGGCAGTGGAGGATGGCCCAAGTGTTTGAGCCCCAGCACCCACGCAGGAGAACCCAAAAGAAGCACTTAGCTCCTGGCTTCAGCTTGGCCCAGTCCTGAAAGTTGAGGTCATTTGGGGAGTGAGCCAGTGGATAGAGGACTTTTCTCTTTGCCTCTGCCTCTCCCTCTCTAACTCCACCTTTCAAGTAAATAAATAAATCTTAAAAAAAA